TTTTTTTTTTTTTTTTTTTTTTGGATGTGTATGTAGGAAAATTTGAATAGTTAATGACAGTGCAGTACATAGCTTTATTAATAGTTCTATAAGAATTCTCCAAGATGGGGTTTTAATTTGGTCCAGGTATTTTGCAGGATAAGGCTCTATACAGGTCTGTCGCATCTTACGCGCATTTAACATGTGCGATTTCAGCTTTACGCGGTTGACAAAAACACAAAAAAGAGAAAAATAACAATTTTAATACTGTACTTACCGTGCGGGCGATTCTGCCCGCCATTCAACTCAGTGTAATTTTGATTATACGTGGTTTTCGCTTTACGCACTAACTGCGGAACGGAACCCCCGCGTAAGATGAGACAGGCCTGTATAGAGAGGGGGGAGAGCATTCTGTATTTTGAATTAACCTCATAACTGTCTGTATAAAGATCCCCCTCTTAATGGAAATAATCCCTCTTTAATGTTTTAGCTTTTGGAAAAGAAGAAGAGAGTCCAACTCAAGGATATGGGGGAGGATTTGGAGTGCCTCTGTCAGATAATGAGGACAGTGGGACCTAGACTAGACCATGCAAAAGCCAAGGTATGTCTTTCTTTCAAACTGAAGTACTAACACTTTTTTTTTTTTTAATGGCTCCCTTGGGGGGGGGGGAAATGGGGGGGGGGGGGGGCAGAAATACGTTGCTTGTTCACAATTTTCACTCTAGAAAGTTGAGGAATTATGTACCCGAATACTAATTTTTATCGCAGAAATGCTGTAGAATTGTATTCTAAGCGCAAGGAACTAGTTACATGATGTCTTATGATATGTTTGTGGCCTATAACTTTCCTACCCTATGTCTCTTAAGGTTGACTTGTCTTGTCTTCATAGGTATTTTTAGTAGCTGGTCACTGTCAGAATGTTTACAAAGCTAAATAGTATTGACTGATTTTTCTGACCTTTGCCTCAGAGTGACTTGGGCAGAAGATAATCTAGGGATTCAGCTACAGTCCAGTCCAAACCATTCCTTTAAGGGAATGGGAAACAGAAGGGGAGGACAACAGCCTGTTTCTCTTTACCATTTTTAGATAATTTGAACACTGCCACATTTTAAATGTAATTTGTAATACTGATACTGAAAAGAGAGATTATTGAGGGGGAAACTGCAACTTTAAGCAACTAAGCTAAACTTGGCCTCTTTCTCCTCTTAGTCCTTAATGGATCAGTACTTTGCCCGTATGCGCTCCTTGATGTTAAGTAAGGAATTGCCAGCAAGGATTCGTTTCCTGCTGCAGGTAAGAGTGCCAGTCCTGTTTGGTTTCTTGCCCTCTTTGTCTCTTCTCCCCCACCCCATCCCCTTTAATTTTTTGCTTTTTTCCTTTTAGGATACTGTGGAGTTGAGAGAACACAACTGGGTTCCTCGCAAAGCTTTTCTTGACAATGGACCAAAGACTATCAATCAAATCCGTCAAGATGCAGTAAAAGTAAGTACTTCCACGTCCATTTGCACCAAATGTAATGATGTATTATTGGTCATCTACGGCATGTTTGCATGAAGGAGTGGGTCAAACTCCTGGACTCCGACTAAGATTCTAAATCTGTCTTTGAAGGATCTGGGAGTCTTTATTCCTGCTCCTATGGCTCAAGGGATGAGAAGCGACTTCTTTCTGGAGGGACCGTTTATGCCACCCAGGATGAAACTTGACAGGGACCCACTTGGAGGGCTTGCTGATATGTTTGGACAAATGCCAGGTAAACTGAAATCCTAAAGCTGCCGTGGCAGCAGTAGCATTCTCTTGAATGTCAGGTGTGTACATGACTGTCTACGTTCTCATTCACCTTCCTATGTACAGGTAGCGGAATTGGTACTGGTCCAGGAGTTATTCAGGATAGATTTTCACCAACCATGGGACGTCATCGTTCAAATCAACTTTTCAATGGCCATGGGGGACACCTCATGCCTCCTGCTCAATCCCAGTTTGGAGATCTAGGCAAATCTTTTTTGAAAAATCAGGTAAGGAAGACCTTTTGGTGATTAGGTATATCTGAAACCTTAGTTTTGGCATCTCTTTAGACTGAGACAGATGTGCAGGCTTCCAGATGGATGCTGGTCATCTGTATTGTATAAGATTCTTACAGCTGGTAGGAAAATAAGCACTTCTTGCACACTGCAGTCGTTTTCTTCCCCCCACTCCTCCAAAAAAAGGGGGAAAAAAAGAGAGAGAGAAGAGAGACTGATGCAAGGGAGACTTCTTTCTTTATTGCCAGGGAAGGTGCACATTTTATGACTTTGAGTCAGAAGTGTGTAATATGTCAATTTTTCTTTTAAATCTATGGCCCTGGTTTTAGGGATAGATACACTACTTTTTTTCCTCTTTCTTCCTTCCCTGGCAAACATTTTCTATTGAACTTCTAGTTCCTTTGGTACTACTACCATATTTTGTGCACCCCCGTCATCTGCACTTCTTTCTCTCTATCTCTTTTTCTCTCTCTCTCTCTCTGAAATAGGGGCAAAGCCAGCTCTACCATAACCAGAATCAGGGACTGTTATCCCAGCAACAAGGACAGTCGAAGGATATGCCACCTCGGTTTTCTAAGAAAGGACAGCTTAATGCAGATGAGGTATATACCTACATTACTTGCAGCATTCTTAATATATTGCCCAATGATTATAGCAAGACGCGTTATTACGAGGACTAATGCTGGACCTCTGCTTCTTATCTCCTCCTCTTTTCTTCTTTGTCCCTTCTCCTTTCACTTTAACCCCTCATTATCCTTGGGTGTCCAGCGTCCTGTGAGCAAGATTATGAGATATGAGGGCAATTTCTCAGGATTTTTCTTTCCTAAAGCAAGGTCAATACCTCTGGCCTTTCATATAAAGGAGCTCTTCATCTAGTCACAATATAGGCTCTTTTTTTTTTTTTGTCTTCTTTGGGGAGTGGTTTACGTCAATGTGAAAACTGATATGCATGTACAATAATGCAAAGTTTACTCTGCATTTGACACAGTCACTGAGATGTCAACTTGCATATTTTTCCTTTAAATCTTGGCTTATCTAATAGCCATGCATCTGTTTCCAAACCAAATCACTTTGGGTCTATATTGCAGTCATCAAAATACCAAAGCAAGGCTAAAACTAGCAATATTGTGTTTTTATACTGTAAACCAACAGCCAAGACTTAAATATACAGGCACCTTATATTAACACATCTTGTCTCAAATTGGAACTTTTATCCTTAGTTCATCCTGTTGTTCTTGGGCGTTGAAGTACACATGTGGCCTAATCCTGATTACAGTTTTACTAGTGTAAATTCTGAAATAATCCCACTGAATACACTAGTGTAAAACTGGCATGAGATCAAGAGCAGGCCTACAAAAATAAATTTGTCCTGAGTCACTACACTACATTAGCAGGACTTGTGAGATACTCTGATTATTTAGTGACTTGCCAGGGAACTTCAGCAATTTGATGGGCTAGGATTTGTCTTCTTACAGATTAGCCTGAGACCTGCTCAATCTTTTCTAATGAATAAGAACCAAGTGCCAAAGCTTCAGCCCCAAATAACTATGATTCCTCCCAGTGCACAACCACCACGCACTCAGACACCACCTTTGGGACAGGTAAATATCCTAATTTGATAACTGTGACTATTGTTTAACTCTGTATAAATATGTATGCAGTTAAAGCGCTGACAACTAAAGTAGCTCTTGCACATGCATCAAGATAAATCACAATCGTATATAAAAAACTGTTGGAAAGAATACAGGATTTTCTTCTGGCTGTAGTTTCAGTAAAAGATTTGAATAAATGTAACCAAATATTTAATTTCTGAAACTACCCTAACTTTATCACTTATTTTCAAGCCTCCTCAGCTTGGTCTCAAAACAAATCCACCACTTATTCAAGAGAAGCCTGCAAAGATCAGTAAAAAGCCGCCACCTTCTAAGGAAGAATTGCTTAAACTCACTGTAAGTTAATGTTGTACTCTGTTCCAAATGGGACACAGCTACTGCAAGAAATCAGTGGAGTTCAGATTCATTTCTATTTCAGGAAGCTGTTGTGACTGACTATCTGAACAATGGAAATGCAAATGATGCTATCAATGGTGTGAGAGAAATGAGGGCTCCAAAGCCCTTCTTACCTGAGATGTTGAGCAAAGTAATCATTCAATCCCTAGACCGATCAGATGAAGATAAAGAGAAAGCAAGTGCTTTGATCAGCTTACTCAAACAGGAAGGAATAGCCACTAGTGACAACTTCATGCAGGTACTCCATGTTGTAGCTTCGGAGTTTTTTGAGTTAAAGATTCTCTTTTTGATGCTTAGGGACTGGAAAACACTTTCTCCCCCCCTCCCCCCAATATCCTATAGTACAAGGGTTCTCAAACTGGGGGTCATAATTCTTTGGGTTGCAAGGTGGTTGCATGGGGATTGCAAGCTATCAGCTCTGTGGGACAGACAGCTCCCAGCCCCCATTAATTTAAGTCCTTCTTCCCCCCCCCCCCCAAATGTATAAGGGGGGGGTCACACTTGAGGCTTATGTGAAAGGGATCACAATACAAAAAGTTTGAAAACCACTGCTATAGTAAATATAGGTACTACTCTGAATAATAGACACTTTCCACTGGACGTGTAGTTAGTGTCCTTTAGAAAGAAAAGTCCTTGCATGTAAGGTTTTTTCATCTTGTAGTTCCCTAGACTAATCATGTTGCTGACAACTTAATATTCTTCCCTCTTTCTTAGGCATTCCTGAATGTATTGGACCAGTGTCCCAAACTGGAGGTAGACATCCCTTTGGTGAAATCCTACTTAGCACAGTTTGCAGCCCGTGCCATTATTTCAGAACTGGTGAGCATTTCAGAACTGGCTCAACCACTGGAGAGTGGCACCCATTTCCCCCTCTTCTTGCTTTGCCTTCAGCAGTTAGCTAAGTTACAAGACCGGGAATGGCTAACTGAACTCTTCCAACAAAGCAAAGTCAACATGCAGAAGATGTTGCCAGGTAAGCAATCAAAATACTTACTGTGACATATTAATCATTTTATCTTTCAACTTCTGTAAAGTGTACTAGGGTGGAAAATGCCGTGAAACATTCTTGGGGAGGGGGATGTCGGTTAATAAATAACTCTCATAGCAGAATTTCTTAAATTGATCAGGTTTTTTTCTACCCCACTGACTTATATTTGATATAGTATCCATGCTATTCTTCAAGTTGTCTATATGAATGCTGAGATGAGGATGTTTGCGTGCCATTGCATTCTTAATTGGAGATATATTTTTTTTTTTCTTTTTTGGCTAGTAGTGCCATCAAGATCATAAGTGAGAGCAGACAGACGTGCTATTTTGAAAGATCAGCCTTAACGGGCCTTCCCCAGGTAGACTTTTTTGCCATGCCTTCCAACTTAAAATGCTAGTTTTCTCAGAGCACAGTGTGTGTGGAAGATACAGTTGTGACTCCCTGGGAGATGGTCTTCTGGCACATTAGTCCCTGGGGTCTCTTACATGTCTTCCCTCCAATTTCACTGATCCATAAAGTCCTGCTCAAACTGACCCATCTGGTCTGTCTCTATACCTTCTTCTGACTGCCCTTCTGACCCAGTAGTTGGGTTCCATAACCTGCCCTAGCTTATCATCCCTGCTTCTCAGGCCTAGAGCAGGAATGTTCTCCTGAAATTCTGTTGGTTCTATGTGTAGGTAGATATCTGGGGGAGAATCGGTAGAAGATGCATAATATTGAGTGTACCAGATCTGGGAGTACTTCTACTCTTGCAGGTCCTTTTTAAATAGCAGGAAATCTATCTTCAGCTTTTGTACTAATCCTGAAATTGATGGGCTTGTTCCTGAACTCTGTCAAGGTTCATTTAGCTGCCAGTTTCTATCTGCCACTCAGAAAAACCCCTTATCTTTGCATATCCTACAGCAAGATTCCTTAAGGGCTTCCTTAATCAGTTCCCTCCATTGTAAGACCACAACTTACCCTGGAACTTCAGCTTAATGCTTAATACAGTAAGAGGATCTCCCTTCGAACACAGGGCAACCTGCTTACTACTATATCTGTCCTTCAACACTTCATTCCTTGTGGCAGTTGCCTAAGCCAGAAGGAATGGGGGACTGGAAGCCTTCATGGCTGGCCCACCATATGCTGGGGTGTTTGTTTGGTTTTTTTTGTTTTGTTTTGTTTTCGGACAAAGTTAAACGTTACAGGCCTACCACACACTTCCACATCAGTCAGGACATTCAGCTGTCTTCTCTAGACAAGTGGAACTTGGATAAGGTTCAAAGACCAGTCTTCATACCTAGGATATAAAATGAGCCCTGGCTTTCTGTCCTTATCAAAGTAAGCCCTTCAAAGGGCTTTCCCTGAACTCTGCCCTTTGGAGGGGGTCACTCAGTCTCCTCTCAGACTGAAGTGGCTATGGCAGTGCATTTTGCCCTTTGGGATGAACCCCCTTGAGTCACTGCTTACTCCATGAGGGCTCATCTAATTCCATTGCCCTCAAGAAGGTGCCCACCAAGGACACTTGCAAGTCAGCCACCCGACCCTCCCTTAATACGTTTTCATAGCATTATGCCTTATTCCATGCCTTCAGAGTGGACACAGCCTTTGAAGCTGTTCTACACGGTACAGGACCCTCTTCCACATTAAGGAACTGCTTGGGACTTTTATGTGGTACATCCATAGGAATAATAACTCAAAGAAGAGGTTACTTAACTTAGATGCATAGACTTCCAGAAGGGACCATCATGATCCTGTAATCCAGGGGGTTCTCAAACTTTTGAATTGGTGACCCCTTTCACACAGCAAGACTGAGTGAACTCCCCCCCATTAAAAACACCTTTTTATTTTTATATATATATATATATATAACACTATTATAAATGCTGGAGGCAAGTGTGGTTTGAGGGTGGAGGCTAACAGCTCGTGATTCTTTTTTGCGCACGCACACACACACCTCTCCTGGTTCAGAACCCCTGCTCTAATCTGACTTGCACATTACAGGCCACAGAACCTTGACCACCCACTCCTTTTAATAGGCCCATAACATCTAGCTGTTGTTTAAAGACTTGAAGTTGCATAGAATCCACCATTTACACTAGTTTAAACCTACTCATATAGTAATTGGCATTCGTCCTGATGTCTTGGCCCTATATGTTTTTTGTCACTATCTCCTTTCCCATTTGCTTTGGAGTCTTACTATGCTGTGAGGTTCTGAAGGAATTAGAGTGTCATAGTCTGCTCCTCCCTGTATGCTCTCATACCAGAGCACAAGGAGGCATATAGTGCAGGTGCAGACCCATAGGCACTATTAGTAGAAAAATCTCCAAGTCTGCATGGGTGCATGTACATCGTTACCTGGAGCACCCATCATAGCAAAATATTGTGAACTCCAGTTACTGTGTAATTGTAAGTAACCTCTCCTTCTCAGCTAAGCTGGTTTGGTCCATTGTTTGACTTCAAAAGTTGTCTTAGTTATTCAGAATTTTCATTCAATTTTTCTTAGAAATTGATCAGAATAAGGATCGTATGCTGGAGATCTTGGAAGGGAAAGGACTGAGTTTCTTGTTCCCACTTCTGAAACTGGAGAAGGAACTGTTGAAGCAAATAAAGTTGGATCCATCCCCTCAAGCCATCTATAAATGGATTAAAGACAACATTTCACCCAAACTTCATGTAGATAAGGGATTTGTGAATATTTTGATGACCAGGTGAGATGATTAATTCAGAGCAAACCTATCATACTTTTTAGTAGTTCAGACATGTTAAAAATGGACTTGTGCTCACTAATGGCTTATGCAGTATCCACATAGCTGGAATAAAGTGTACCCTGCACAAGGAGGATATAGAGACAAGATGGTACACAAGGAGGGGGTTCATGATGAATTCTTTTTAATGCTATTTAAAGCACTACGACCGAAGGAAAGAATGCTCTAGATAGCAAATCATGACCTTATTCTCAAATCCTTCAGTGCCCTAACAGAGTCCAAGGAAACAGATTAGGATTCCTTGCATCTGAAGATGAACAGGCCCACAAATAACTTACCTATCTATCTCATAGAGGTGGAAGGGACCCTGAAATGTCATTGAGTCCAGCCCCCTGCCTTCTCTAACAGGACCAAGTACTGATTTTGCCCCAAATCCCTAAGTGGCCCCCTCAAGGATTGAACTCTCAACCCTGGGTTTAGCAGGCCAATGTTCAAACCACTGAGCTATTCCTCCCGCAATGAGTACTTTCCCAAATAGGACCCTGTTGGTCTTGGGTTTAACATGGGGAGTTTTAAGCAGTTGAAAGTGAGGGAAAAAATTGATAGTGAATTTAACCAACTGACAAAAGTGCTTGTTTGTACAGCTACTTTCACATTGTCAAAGTAATTCACTAGTCTTAAATATAATTTCAAAATGTTTTCATACAACTTTTACTTCCAGTTTCTTGCAGTATATTTCAAGTGAAGTGAGCCCGCCTAATGACGAACCAGATTCTTCATCTGCTCCTTCTAAAGAGCAGTTAGAACAGGAAAAACAACTGCTTCTTTCCTTCAAGCCAGTAATGCAGAAGTTTCTTCATGACCATGTTGATCTACAAGTGAGTGCTCTGTATGCACTTCAGGTGCACTGCTACAACAACAACTTTCCAAAAGGTATGAATAATGTATTTGCATATTTACATATTTGCTACTGTATTTGAGGGAAAGTATTAGTCAGTACCATCCATGTCGTGAAGTGTTCAGTAAACCTGTCTGTCAAAGGGCACTCTATTATAATAATAGCAGCATCTGCTACATTTATAACTAGGATGTGCTTAAAGTTTTACCACCTGGGTGCAACAGTATACTTACCTAATGAAACTTCATTTAACGTGCAATTGTCAGCCTTGCATGGAGCTTTCTATAGTTCGGGAAACTGCTTCTGAGGAATTCAATATGCCTAATATTGAATTGGTTTACCTGGTGTTTGTGTGTCTCCCTCTTTTATAGGCATGTTACTGCGCTTTTTTGTTCATTTCTACGACATGGAAATTATTGAAGAGGAAGCCTTTTTGGCATGGAAAGAGGATATTACTCAAGAGTTTCCAGGGAAGGGCAAAGCTTTATTCCAGGTAAAACTGTGTATAATGGAGCAGAAATTTATAAAAAATCTTTTTCAGTGTATATATTTGCCTACTTCCATTGTGCTGATGAGTTCAGGGAACCCTATTGTAAAAATATTAAGTACTTAGCTTAATTTAGAAATGCTCTTATTTGGGCTGGGGAAGGGAATATGAGGCAGGATAAAGTAGCACTCTCCTCTTCTCGCCCCCCCCCCCCCCCCACACACACACACACACAATAAAGGGGCAAAGGTCAATGATGACATGTATGCTACCCAAAATAAATGCTTTTTATGCTAGTATTTTAGGGGAAAGCCACATGAACGAGATGTAGAAATTTGTATATGCGCGCACGCAGTCTGCTCTTTCTGCTTCTGAAAATGCATTGATATGATTGCAGGTAAACCAGTGGCTAACCTGGCTGGAAACTGCTGAAGAGGAAGAATCTGAAGAAGATGCTGACTAAAGAACCAGCCAAAGCCTTAAATTTGTGCAAACACTGTTGCTATGATGTAACTGCATTTGACCTAACCACTGCGAAAATTCATTCCGCTGTAATGTTTCACAATATTTAAAGCAGAAGCATGTCAATAGGATGTTCTTCTGCATAAGGTTTTTGTAGTATGTCTTAATCATAGTCTACCATAAAATATTTTAGAGTATCTTTAATGTTTAGATAACAGTGTATTAGCAGCATGCAATAATTACATCATAAGTTCTCAAGCAGAAGCAGTCTATTGCAAGGGTTTTCTTTGCTGCCAGTTATCATAGGCTGTTAAGTTAGAAAACTGAATAGCAACACTGAATACTGTAGAAATGCACTTTGCTCAGTGTAATACTTGAGTCGTTGCAATATTTGATTATCCATTTGGTTGTTACAGAGAATCCTTAACTGTAATCGATGGTTGTTGCCGTAATAGTATATTGCCTGTAATTCTACCTCTAGTAATGGGCTTTATGTGCTAGATTTTAATATCCTTGAGCCTGGGCAAGTGCACAAGTCTTTTTAAAAGAAACATGGTTTACTTGCACAAAAACTGATCAGTTTGGAAAGGTGGTTAAATGCCCTTGGAAGTGGTTTTTGTGGGTGTGAAACATAAAATGGTGAGAAATTGAATTGGTCCCTCTTATTATAGTATTGAAATTAAGTCTACTTAATTTATCAAGACATGTTCATGCCCTGATTTTATATACTTGTATCTATCAATAAACATTGTGATACTTGACTTGTTTCCAAATGTCTCCCAGTAGAAGAACCTTTTGACAGCCAAAGCTAATTGGATTCCTTAAAAATATTTCATCCAAATGTAGTGAAGTCAAAGTATAGAGGTGATGGTGATCTGGTGAGGTAGAGCTGAGGCCTTCCTAAATGAGGGAAGTTGCACTATTACAAGTTAAATTTGTGTGTTTAAATCAACTTTTAAACAGTGTCTACAAGGGAGTTTGAGTGGCTTATGTGGCTGTCTAAACATATTCCTTATTGATTTTTGCAGTTTAGCTTAAATGTCACCCTTACATTATGTCTACTGATGGGTTAGGGCCAATTTAACTTAGATTAACTCTTATTTAATATCAGTGCAATTTCATAATATGTAGACACTGTTACATGGTTTTTTGTTTTTTGTTTTTTTTTTAAGATGAGATACTGGGAAGTGGGGGTGGGGGGGGTGAAGAAATCCTCATCACGGCAAGTTTTTTACTAATTCCTGAAATCTGGGTGACTGCATTTTGTAGTGGTGTGGTTGCTTGTATCTTCTTGTGAAGTGTGTAGCTAGCATGAGACAGGAGGACTAGATGAACCACTGGCCTGATCCAGCATGGTCATGGTAATAGTATTTTACAAGCAATTTAAAATTTTAGGATTTCCTCACTTGAAGGACAAGCTATTGCCTTCTACTAGACTAGAGAAATAGTATTGACAAGCTTGCAAACACACTTATGTAACTTTTTAAATGAAATGTTAATGAAAGGAGAACTTTACATAAGCACTAAATTGCTACGTTTTCTGGTAGATGAGATCTTAAGGAAAGCAAGAATATAACTGACTACACAAAGTGTTCAAGTGCCTAAATGTCACTTCTACTGAATTATGTTGCTCAAGTGTAGCTCATCCCATGAGTAGGTATATTTTTTTAGGTTGGTACTGAGGGTGCAGTTCTCACAAGGGTTAGAAGCATGCTCAGTATATCATTTAAATTGGGGGTGGAGGGTGGCTGGCTTCAAGTAGTGCAATATGGCCTAAAAGCTGGTATTGAAAATAGCAATTGCCAGTGTGTGTGTGTTAAACATCTCTTGGGAGGTGTTTCACCATACATACATCCTTAATTCTCTTTACCTTTCTCTAGCAACTATAGCAATATAATGTAGGTTAGATCAGGGGTTCTCGGAGTTTTGTACTGGTGACCCCTTTCACACAGCAAGCCTCTGAGTGCAACCCCCTTATACATTAAAAACACTTTTTATATATATTTAACACCATTATAAATGCTGGAGGCAAAGGAGCTTTGGTGTAGAGGCTGACAGCTCCTGACCCCCAGTTTGAGAACCCCCTGTGGGTTAGATACAGGGCAAGTGGAGGTGCCAGGACCCATTGATGTTAGTTATCCCTATGTACTGCTCATTATCCATATTACTAACATTTTAAACTCTGTAAAACATTTTACTAATGAAGCTTCAACTGTATCCCCTTATTGTTGCCTTCTCTAACTATAAAGCTATTTACTCCCCATCAGAGCAGAAAGTGAGCAACATCAACTGTAGTTTTCTCTTCTACTCAGACTATTCAATTGGCCACAAACTTGAGCAGTTTAATGATATTAAACTATCACTGCAGGCTCAAAATGGCATCTATGGAACGTTTTCAACAGTTGCACATCTCATTGCCAATTTGTCCCTAGTGAAATGTATACAATCTTCTTTACCAATATTTGTTTTAATGGTGAAAGTGCACTTAAAGACAAAATCAACTTATGCTTGTCAGGTTTACTATAAGCTTGCTCTTCTAAGTAACATCACTTTCCTGATGTTAGTGCAGCTGGACATAAATTGAAGCAGATACTGTTCATCATATACTGAAGATTGGGGGAGGGGGGAGAAAGATTGTCATCTAAGTCAGTGCTCTCCAAACTTTTTTGATCATACACCCCTATCTGTAAAAAAAATTTTGAGCATGCACCCCCTGCTGCGCCGAAGCGCAAAAAAGCCGCTTAGACACCCGCCTGACAACGCACCCCCCCAAAAAAAAAGCGCTCCTCCTGCTGCGAACCCCCCAGGATCCTCTTGCATACCCCACTTTGGAGACCACTGATCTAAGTCAGTGGCAGACAACTTAGAATCTCAGGCAAACTTATTCAAGATGGTGGCTCAAACATGGGAACAACTTCCTTAGCGTTAAAGGAGTGTAAAAAAAAAAAAAAAATTACCGCTTTACATGGCTTCCTCTTCTCACATAAGGAGTTTATCTCTGGCTTGCAGTAGTAATAGACAATATACCAATCATTGATTGGGGAACAATTACTTTTAACTGCCGAAAGGCATCTTTTTATCTAAATGGTTCCTACAAAAATGATGGCCAGGTGCAGGAGCTTGGGTCCTAAGTACTACTGCAATACTAGTTCCTTCTAGAAAATTGCCTAATTTGAGCTGTCTCTTGGTGTAGCTGATGGGCAGTTTTTAGACCTGCTTCCCAAACTTCACAGCATAGGGAAAAATCCCGCTACACACATTTTTCCCTGTCCTGTCCTGTGCTGCAGTATTGCAGTAAAGGGATTAAAGCATCAGATTTCCACTCCTCCCAATTTGGGACATCTAGAATAAGTATGGAAATGAAGCATCAAAGACCATTACAGTAGCAGTATCTGGCAGGAGAGGAGGAGTCACCTGATACACCAGCTGGACCACACACAAATGGAGCTTAGAATGGCATTATGGGACCCTGCAAAGGGCCTTTTTCCTTACATCCTCTGGCCGCAACTGCCGCTGACTACAGTGGATCTCAGCAGTCTGTGCTCTTCTTCAAATAGGACTAAGAACGGGGGGGGGGGGATTTTCAGTAAAGAAGAGCAATCAATAGAAGGATTACAGAGACTCAGCCTTTCCAGCCATGCCCTTGGTCAAATACAGACTTCTCAATTCAAGCTGCCTTCTGCTTTCCTGTTGGATGTAGCCAGGCAGAATGAGGCCAGTATCTGCTCAGCTTCAGCAGACAATTTTTCAGAAGTTTGGGACCCAAACTCAGAGTTCCTTGCAATCTCTCCACCAAAGACCACCTTCCACAAAAGGTACAAGTCCTCCTAAGAATCTGGAATGAATTAACAATTGGAGAGAGTGTGATCCTTCTGAGCAGCCAAAAGTCCTCCTACTTCAAATTCCCTGGGCAGCATGAGGATTTGTCCACACTAGAGATTGATCAGTGGAATAATAAAAATTATTCTTTGTGTCTGTGTCAGCATAGTTCATGCTGTAGGTGTGAATGTAAGTTCAGAATCTTTTGCATAACCATGTAGCTCTGACCTTCCCTCAGTTCTCTCTTACTGCCCACAGCAGCAAGATAGAACCTGGCCTATGCCCCATTTACTCAGTGTTTGGTCTAAGCTTTAGACTTAGGTGAAGAGTATTTTTTCACAAATAATAAATTTCTAAATTCTTCATTTTAGTTGGAAATTCCAACATGCAAAAATAGAATCCTCAGTCAACCAATGAAAATTCGACTCCAAGCTCTCTGCCCTTTGTGTGATATCCAGTTGCCCCTGATAGACTGGTGTAACAAATGTCTCTGCTACCTGGGGGAAGCTCAGATCCCCAATAAATGCTCCATCTGTTGCTCTTTCTCCAAAACATTGTACATCTGATATGGAGCTTCACCTGGTCCATGGCCACAACTATCCTGATACTCTGAGCATCTTTTTTTGCAGGCAGCAGGCATCCCTTGGATGTCCAAGCAATCATCAAATATCTATCTTTCAAGGGAATGGATCTGTTTAGCTTTAGGATGGATGAGGCATTCCACTCATCAAGACTCCAAGCTATGTTAAGATACCTCAGGATCTATAGCCCCGTGTCATACCAGAAATCATTCTGGTACCAGCCCCCTCCAAGGCGGAGAACATCATCCTTCGTCCAGACCAGTTACTGTGAGCACATGCTGTCCTATTTTGGGGTGCAATTCAGACCAGTGAGAGGTTGTGTCACTGCTTGTCATGTAACACTGAGTGACTTAGAATGGTCTGCTGCTGTAGCTCCCTGTCTGGACACTCCCAGCCAGCATATAAGCATGCACTGAGTGTCTGTGTTAAGCAGCCTTAGTTCAGCATCTCTGACTCCAGCAACCTGCTTGTTACACCACAGCCATACTCTGTTCTCCATTAACCTTAGGTACTACTAGCCAAGTGACCCCCAACACACACCTAGTCCCAAATTTCTCCAAAACCATCTTCCCTGAAATGTCTAGCCTCCTGGAACATTCAGAGAAGTAATAAGGGCTGTTGCTCCTTTAAAGAGGCAAAAGCACAGCAGCTTGTTCCTTTAACTGGAGTTAATAATCACATCAAGTCAAACCCAATACTGGATTGATTTTAGAAAGGAAAAAAAGTAAAAAGTTTATTTAATCAAAAAAGAGTTTTAAGTGAGTTCAAGTATAAGAGAGATAGTCAGCAATGGTTATAAACAAAAGTGAAAACACACCTCTAAACCTCTGACTTACTCTAGCAAGATATAGTCTTTGTTGAAGATGGTTTTTCTCACCCACAGTCTTCTGTCCAGCTTTTTACTGGCTGGCCTGGCAAGGACCCACCACACAGATCAAACCACCTGCTTGCTTTGTCTCCTTGTGATAGGGTGTATGAACCCACACTGGGGAAGTAAGGGTTAAGGAGGAGCTCTGGGGCCAGAAAGCCCCCCCTACCACCCTTGCTGGGCATGCTTACAGTGAAGGCTGAGCTCAAAAGGGATCAGTTTAGCTCAGTCTGGTGGATGGAACAGGAGAGCAGTTGTGTGGTGCAGGTTCCTGCTAAGGAGCCGCAAAGACCCCACACAGCTGGGCCCAGCCCTCAACACCAAGCTGCCACAAGCCTTTTAGTGATGGAGATTGGCAACAATGAGCTCCAACTGCAAGAGGAAAGTCCTTTGGAGCATAGAACTCTAGAAGGGACTCAGAGGGGAACCACTGACACCAACAGAGGAACAGAAGCCAGTGTAGGAAGTGGCCTAGGCTGCAGGTGTAGGAGCACCCAAT